GGCTGGTTAGGTTAGAGGTTGGCGGTTGCAAATTGTAAAAAAGGGGGAAATTAGAGTAACTAATTAATCGGCATCGTTGATTTAGTTACATTAGTCATTAACACGCGTTGGTAATAATAGGTGGACATCGAAATTTAAACTCGAGTTAAGGAAAGTACCCTGGTCGGATTGGTAGGGGGGAACGGACATAGACAATTCTGGTGATACCCAATAAGATTATTAGTTGGGGGGAGGAAAACGCGTGGCAATTAGGTACCAGACATTTTTTTCGACAGAAGGTAGACATTGGTCAACTTTGAATTTTAGGTGGGTTCATCTTTCTGTTTTTTTTTTTACTTTTTCTAGCTTGGATTTTTTGTTGCATTTTGGTGAGGATTTTTGTTTAGTTTTTACACGAACAGGTGATCACAAGATACCTGCGCACAGGTTTTGGTTTCAAGTTGCTTGGAACACTGAAATAGAGGGAACTAAAAAGAAATAAGAAAAAGGGGGGTCATTATTTGGCCTTTAAGAGAGGGTTTTTGGGAAAATTTTACTAGAGCTTGAGTGGTGGTACAAGGTACAGTGAATCAAGAAGTCCCCATAACGGAGAAGAAGGAGGTTCCACCGCTCAGACACTTGTCAACAGTCTTGGGACAGTGCCAAAGAAGTCTTGGGACAGAGCAGTCTTGGGACAGTACGGTCTTGGGACAGTGGTCTTGGGACAGTGGTCTTGGGACAGTGGTCTTGGGACAGGGGTCTTGGGATAGTGGTCTTGGGACAGTGGTCTTGGGACACTAGCCTTGGGACAGTGGTCTTGGGACAGTGGTCTTGGGACAGTGGTCTTGGGACAGTGGTATTGGGACAGGGGTCTTGGGACAGTGGTCTTGGGACAGTGGTCTTGGGACACTAGCCTTGGGACACTAGCCTTGGGACAGTAGTCTTGGGACAGTAGTCTTGGGACACTAGCCTTGGGACAGTAGTCTTGGGACAGTAGTCTTGGGACACTAGCCTTGGGACAGTAGTCTTGGGACAGTGGTCTTGGGACACTAGCCTTGGGACAATAGTCTTGGGACAGTGGCCCTGGGATAGTACTCTCAGGAAAAGGGTCTTGGGACACTGACGGAAAGTACTGGGACAGTACCGAACAGTCTTGGGACAGTAGAAAGAAGCCTGGGACGGTACAAAGAAGAGTAGGGACGGTAATTGGAAGTCTTGGGACAGTATAAAAATTACAATAAGTGTTTTAAGACAGAATTAAGACAGAACAAGACTAGTCGGAACCAGGTACGGTTGAGACCACAAATAAAGAAAGTTTCTCGAAGAGTTTTGAAAGAGAACTGGAATACGGTTTTTATCACGTTGTATATTTCCTTTTAATAATTTTTCCACAAAAGATTTTATTCTTAGAATAGAAATGTGTATATAGTAATATTGTAAATAAGAGCAATTGTAAATAGAAATAATGAGACGGAGTAGGGTACCGGTGCTAGAAAAAAGGTCAAGTGGATCAAACACGAAATATAACTCGTCGCTGCGCGGAACGACATCAATGGGCCCAAGCAAAACAAAAGATAACTTTTCAGTTAGCATGGTCAGCACGAGGGGTAACACCGAGAACAAGACGCGAGAAGGTGCTAAAGACAAACAGGTGGAGCCCACAATCGAAATCGATCTAGAGACACCAGACCAGAGCGTAGATGAAGTGGAGAAGAAGACAACGGAATCCACACCGATGCCCCATATGGAAGATCAAAATCCAAAAACCGTGGAGTTTTTGCCGATAGACGCGTTGGAAGACACAACAGGCAATACCCGAGAAACGGTGAAAGACGAATCTCAAGTAAAGAAAACATCTTTTACAGAAAAGTTAGCGATGATGGTCGGAATGAAATCGAAAGACAATACGGCCGAAGAATCACAGACTGGAAGAGCACGAACATTTGGAACAGTGAGCACGAAGGCGACAGAAGCCGACCTAAAGGAAGAACAAGCCAGAACAGAAGAGGCAGCAGAAAACAAGACAACGGCTGATCATGAAACAGATACTCTTGAGCTTGGCGACCTGATGACAAAACTAAGTCAGATCGACAAAAAACTAAAGTATAGTGAGGAAGATAGAGACTTAATAAGGAAAGAGTTAAAATACAACAAACACGAGTATCTGGATAGTTATTTTAACCTGGCTAAGGCGACAGACGAGAGACTCCAGCAGATGTCGGACAAGGTAGATGCCACCAATGAAGAACGAGATAGGAACATCAAAAAAGATATGCAACAGTTGAAAAACCGATATGATGATGTCAACAGCCAATTAGGTAGCCTGGAAAAGAGAATGGATATAATGAACAGGAATCAGGCCAAAAGTTCGTGTGCAAAACAGGCGAAATTGGATGCAGTCTTGAGAAATTCTACTACACAAGAAAGACCGGCAGCGGATCGCACGCAAGGCACCCGAGTTGACTTTGTGGAACCACAAAGAAACAAACGGCAATCGACACCGTTGCCTTTAACAAGGGATGCGGTAAGCATAGCACCAACGGCGGCCAAAACAATCATGAAAAGTGGAACATCAAACACAATGGGTGGTCCGCGGGACTCAACAGCTAGCAGCAACGCAGGTCCGGATGCCATGACGTGGGCAAGCACTTGGGAGTTGATGAACAGGACTCTAGAGGCCTTCGCCACGAGGAACACTGACTCGAGCGATAGGAGAGACGGAAAATCAAGAAAAACTTTCAAGAAGCCAAAAGAATTCAAAGACGACTCCGATGGATGCATCGATACCGCGGACAAGATCTTCGAAATATTGCTGAATCGATTCGGGTCAGGCATGAAGGGTCACCAAGCGATGATGCGATTTGAAAAGAGAAGGCAGAGGGACGACGAGTCAATTGATTGGTTCCTAGATGACCTCGAGGGCTTGAGAAGAAGGAGTGACCCAGAGGAGTCGACAACCAGAAGAAACTTTAGCATTGCCTCGAAGTTCATTGATGGGGTAAAAAGTGATGACTTAAGAACAATGTTAGCAACATACTACACATTGTCGAAAGACAGCGCACCAACCCCAGAAGAAATGAGACAGAAATCAAGGGAATACTTGCTGATGAAGCCAAAGAAATACTCATATTCAGAAAACAGGAACACGCAAGGGGGAGGCCAACCCCAGAGGTCATCATGGTACAAGCCTAGAGATGATATGGACAAGCGCAGATCATGCGCGAACTGCGGGTCGGCGGATCACCACGTGGCTGACTGCATAACATACAAACAAGGCATGAAGAGCCTAGGATACGCACCGGATGAGGAGGACATGAGCCAGATGGAGGAACACGAGTACTATAGTGGCTTAATCATCAAGATAGGCGCAAAATGCTTCTTCTGTAAACAGGAGGGGCACTTCAGAATGGATTGTCCCTTGTTCTGGGAAGCGGTCAAGGACCAGGGTCACCCAAACATAAGTTGGCATTAGCGGCGGTGCAGAATCAGCGGAATAGACAAAACGAGTTTGAATCTAGGAACTTAGGAGCACCAAGCACGGAATTGCCGACAAAAACAGTGAAAGCTGTAACACATGTTAATGGTGCGATAGAATCCGCGGCCGGAAACTCTCTAGAGATAAATTATGAGAAAGCGGCGACGGAAGCAATTGCCAAAGTGAAACAGGATCTGGCTGCGAAAGAAATAGAGCAACGACTAAAGCTGGAGATCGAAAGACAGAATTTCAACGAAGCATTAACCGGATCAAACCCAACACTAGAGGCTGTACCGGGCTCAACAAAGGCCGGGAATTGTAACACTGTAAAAATGGTGACGGGAAAGCTATTCGGCATATCGAAAATCGGGGCTAGAATAATGTCGATAATCACAGTGGGCGGCCACGAGGTAACCAGAAACTTGAGCGAACCGAGCGACCAGACAATAATGCACATTGACGTGTACGCAGATTAATTGAGTTGTATAAGCCCACAGACGACTTCTAGAGCGTTGAGAGCACTACTTACGAGAGGGGGCAGCAAGTCGGTACGTGTTGACAACAGGTATACTGAAGCTTATGGTCCACACGAGTGATGCTAAATATAGATGGAATAAACATCTATACCAAGACAATGATAACATGTGACGAAGACCTAATTGGGCAAATCTACGTAGGGAAAGAAGAGTTGAAAGTGAGATCAATTGGACACTGCGCCATGCTTGAAGAAGATGCGATGCACATCGGGACAGAGGCAGATGTGACAGGGCACGTGCTAGACATAAGTGGCAAAAAGACTCAGTTACGTGGGTTACTTGATACGGGAGCAGTCTTGAGCGTCATACCAATCGAAACTTGGGAAAGGATGGGCTTTGACATAGGTGATTTGATAGACTCGAGGATAAGGCTGTCAGCTGCAAACAAAGGGGACCTTCGGGTGCTGGGCAGGACGCCGATAATAGCCCTCAATTCGGGGGAACGTAACCTGTGGATGAGCTTTATCGTGGTAGAAAACCTAGATGAATCTGACCAATTCATTTTGGGCAGAGACTTCATCAGGAATTTCGACGTAACGATTGATCTAAATAACGCAATGTTCAGGATACGGAACCCGGATAGGAGGTACGCAATCAAACCGGTAATTTTAATAATGGCGAATGAAAACAAAGCACCGGTATTCTTGAATAGGAGGGTGAGGCTAAAGGCGAATGAAGCGGCAATCGTAGGCTTGAGGATGAAAAATTACAAAGAACTAAGTGACAACAAGCAAGTGTGTAGAGTTCCGAATCCTAATAGTCAAAGTGCTGCTGTTTTAGGAAGATCCTTCTCGATAAAGAAGAGCGGCCTCTGCGTCAGTGTCTTGTTGAATACCCTTGATATCCCGATCACGATACAGAGAGGGAGGAAACTGGGATATGCTTTACCGGTTAAAACCCGATATGAAACAATCGAGAACTCAAAACAAAATGAAGTTGTTGATTGTCCCAATCATAGGGACAAAATTTGTATCTTGAGACGATTGCAGAAAATAAAAGATTCTTCAGGTCTTATTAAATCACTTAAGTCAGAGACGGACGATGGGCTGTCGAGCTGTTCGAACTTTCCAGAGCGGCCCACACTAGATGAAATGCAAACTGACAGCAAAGATGTCGTGCGGTCACTAGTTGACAAGATCCCCGAAAACAATCTGGAGCAGACCAAGGTTAGGAAAAAGAAAGTGACGTTCAATGAAGATACAGGACACCTGGGACTAGGTCAAGAGTCCGGGGAGTGTTCCATGTTCACGGAAGAAGAAACCGGAGAAGGAAAATTGTCCGGGGAGCGTGAAGGTTGGGATGAAGAGTGGGATGAGAGCAGCGAAAACCAAGACAGTCTGTGCATGATATTGGCGGAAGAGAAGACAAGGCACCACGACAGGGAGTTACAGACGGATCCATCTTCAGGAACGTACAATCTGGACATGCAGGAGATACGAGGTGGTGAAGAACTTGAGAAAATTGCGGGTTCAAGGAAGCCATTCAGGGAACTATCATGCAACTCAAACGTCAGAACGAATCTGGTGCCAGAAGATGATATGAAAATCGTGAAAAGGATGATATGCGTGAAGCTGAGTGATGACATCCACAATCCTGGTGAAATGAATGGACAGATCATGGCGCTAAAGGAGCATGTCAAGGCGAGATACAGGCTGTCAGACCTAATAAGAGCCCAAAAGAATGACAAAATGACAAGTAACCTCTCCAAATGGATCCAGTCGGGGGTCAAGGAGAAGGGGGAACTCGAGGAAGACAGCTACAAGATCTTGAGCCAGTTCTACAAAGAAAAGAAAGACTTACTCTACCACACAGCTGATGGGGTGGTAGCATGCAAGAGGAAAGATGAGGAGAAGATATTACACAAACACAACCTCATCATACTACCACAATTGTATCAAACGGAGGTGCTTTTCAGATCGCACGACCAGATGGGACACCAGGGGATAGATAAAGTACAACAAAGGATACTTCACAGGTTTGATTGGCCAGGAATGAGAAAAGCTTGCGAGAGATGGGTGAATGCCTGCCTGGCATGCCTCCAGGTAAAAGACCCAAGGAAGATGAAGTTTCCCCTCAAGTCTGTCGAGAGCTCGGAGTTCATTGAAGTGGTGCAGATAGACCATCAAAAAATACTGGTTATAATAGATCACTTCACAAAGTTGGCGGAAGCGGTTCCGTGTCAGACAGCCTCGGCCGAGGAGACATGTGATCATCTGATAACGCATTGGATATCGCGGTATGGTTGTCCAATGACTTTCCAGTCGGACAACGGCAAAGCTTTTGTGGGGGACTTGACAAAAGAATTGATGAGGAGATCGCACATTGCTCAAGCACACTCGACAACCTACCATCCACAGACCAACGGGTTGGTAGAGAGACAGAACAGGACACTGGTCAACATGTTAAGGGTGTATTGCTCAAGATACATGACGGACTGGGATAAATACCTGCCACAGGTGGTAGGGGCCCACAACAGTACACCGCACTCAACGACGGGCATCAGTCCCTTCATGATGTTGACGGGCAGGGAGAGAGCAATGCCTATGACATTCTTTTACCCGGGATATAAGAAGCGATCAAAAGACAACAAGAGTTAAACGAGCTATGCAGGAGGAACACGGCGCAAGCGCAAATGAGGCAACGCAGAAAATATGACGAAAAAATATTACAAGCAAAGCCATATGAAGTGGGCCAATACGTGTGGGTCTTCCAAAATGTCATACCGCCCAAGGGAACAAAGAAACTACTCAAGAAGTGGAGGGGACCATTCATGATAACGGAAGTTCATCAACAAGGACGGTTCTATCGCTTGAGTACTGGGCGAGCGGCACATTATGAAAATCTGAAGCCTCACGTCCCGTCCACGGAGGATTGGTGCATACCGAAGGACATGGAGGGTCTTGAGTACCTGGTGGTAGAGCCAGCGTGTGAAGTGAATGAAAAAGGCACCAGAGAGAAGAATGATGGTAATGAGAACTTGAGTTTGGACGACAATGAAAATATAGAAGTGGAGTCTGAAGCAGGATCATTTGTAGAAGAAGACTGGAACGACCCGGAGCAAGATGAGGTGCCGAAGTGGATGGAGCCAGATCGACCAATACCACCGGGAACCTGGACTGGCAATCGTAAACGGACCGGCATGAGGTACAACAGGTACGGGGATGACTTCTTGATCGATAAGATACAGCCAGACAAATTGGGCGAGGAACTACTGAGTGCAGGCGAACTGGAAGCCGAAGAGGAATGGCAGGTCATTGACGATGGTGGACACTATCCGCAGGAAGACTACTCGACGCCAGAATTGGAGACGGATCTCGAACAGAGTGAGATAGAGAGGAGGGAGAACACGAACTTGAGGATACTAGAGTGGATGCGCGATGTCAAAGACGAGAGCCGCGAAGGACAAAGCATTCAACAAATCGACGTATCATCGGCAAATTATATGAAGGCAGAGGACCCTCTTTTCGGATGGACGGCAACAGACAGGCCACTGGACATTCCTCCGGACAATTCAGACCCGACAACATCGACGGGGACGTCGATAAATATTTTTGTCCGAGGAGTGGGGGTAGCACTTACCCACACCGAAAATTTGATGATAAAGAAGCTCAAGGAAGTGAGAGAAACAAGCGAATTAGAACTGGAAGAAGAAGAGCCAGAGCCTACCATAGGTCGGAATTTCAAAACGAAATTTGAAATACCCAATGAGTACTCGGAAAACATCATGATAACGGATAGCGACTTCATCCTGTCGAACAGGACTAGCGCGATCTGCATCACGGCGGACATGAGTTTCAAATCAAGATTGGAAGCTGACTTCAAAAGAGAGTACCAGAACGTGGAGTTTCTGTTCAGACAGAGACCAGGACTGGGAGGGATGGCAGCGCTTCCACCATCAGTAGCACAAGTCCCGGGCAAACATCTGTGCTTCCTAGTGACGAGGGTCAATGACAGGAACACAATTAATCCCGAACACGTGATGTTGGCACTAACAAGACTACGAGACTTCATGATTGAAAGAGGAATAACGGAGGTCTCAATGCCGGTGTATGACCCAAACAGGGGCAAACTGAGCTCAAGGGAGTTGTACGCTATCTTACACGTAGTCTTCGCGGAAACTGAGATAATGGTGTATCTGCACAAAAAAATACTACTTGAGCATCGCCTGAGTTGAGGACACGGGGGTCTCGAGTTGGGTGTGAGGGAGGAGTCTTGAGTTAGGTACTGGGGTGCGGCACAGGTAAAGGGATCTTAAGACGCGATTGGCATGACAATTGAATTTTAGAAGAATTAACGGTGCTAAAACATAAGATGAATCTGCATGCTTTTAAGGAAATTCCAATTGACTTGTTTTAAGTGAAATGAGAATGATAAGATTTTAACCATACTGGTAAAAGGGGGGTTTCTAGGTTAGGATCATGACATGTTAAGTCTTAATATGGTTTCTGTTTTCAGATCAAGTTTGAAAAACAAAGTTGAAAATCCAACTATACTCAAGCGAGAGACAAAAAGAGAAATCTTGATTGAACTCGCGATAATCGACACCTACAGCAAGTATTTGCAAGGGAGCATTTCTAGAGAATTCTTGAGCTGGTCAATACTTGAGTCGGTAAGGTAATTCTTGAGCTGGTTAATACTTGAGTCGGTAAGGTAATTCTTGAGCTGGTTAATACTAAATACTTGAATACATCCCGAAGTCACAGAGAATGGCAGACAGATTGTGGAAATCCATGCCCGCGGCCCTGAAGAAGCCTACTCTCCATGAGCTGTACAGACGCCTGAGGGACCTGGATTATACCCAAATAGACGAGAGAATGGCGGTAATGCTGACTGCCATCCTCCAGTTGGAAGACCCTGGTGAATGCAGGGAGTCTGCGACGGAGGCTGTCTTCATGGTAGGCTACACCACCGAGGGAATATCAAATCAGGAACAGACCAGATGGTTGTCTTGGAATGTGGGTGGAGGATTAAGGGGCTTTGACTTGGCAAGAAATCCTGCCCTGAGTAACAACACCGAATATGGCGCAGGAGAATTCCCACTACCAACTAGGCCAACAGCAAGATCCACAGGCCAGAGCTCGAGTAAGGTGCCATCGATGACGCGAGCACAACAGACGACTGAGGCATATCCGGTGTTCTAAAGAAAGAGCTCGAGAAGACGCAGAAGGAAAGGAACAAGGTGAATCTCGATCGGGATCAGGCGAAGCTGGATCGGGAGAAGGTTCAGCTGGAAAGGGACCTGGTGGTCAACGAACGAGATCAGACTCTGAGGTTGCTTGAGATGCTAAAAGCTGAACATCAGCAGGAACTAAGGGTGCGGGAGAATGCCGCGAATTGTGAACAACTGAAGTCTGAGTTGGAGAGAATAGAACAACGACAACGTGAACTTGATGCACAGAAGGGAGCCAGGCCAAAGGAGCGAGTGGTTACCAGCTCGAGGCCAGAGTCAGGCATGGAAGTGGATGAAGCCCCCAGGGCAAGAGGACGGTTCAACCTTGACCGCGAGGCCCGAGAACACATGAGTGAAGGGTTGGAAGTCTGGATACCGAATGAAGCAACGTCCTCCTTGCGTAGCTTAGAGACGCAACCCATACGCCCACTGATGGATGTGGTACTGCCGGGATATACCCCAACCTCGACCTCGAGTGACAGTCAGGTGAGCGGAGCGGCGGCTCATCGCGTCTGAAGGAGCTGGGCGAGAAATTGCGGCAGAGAAGTCGTGAAAGTTCGGCAAGACCGGAGCTTCCCCCAACTTGGAAGAGGTACCACAGGCACAATCGGTTGGATTGGAATGCGGAACAGAAAGCCAGGAGGGACTGCTTTCATGATGCAGCCTGGGTGGAATATCTTGCGCCACCCCGTGTGCCAGAAGGCGCGGTCCACCTAATCATAGGGGACAGCCTGATGCGGGTGTTGACCCGGATCCAATCGCACTGGCAGACAGGAATCTTGAGTTTCGCTGGAGCTGCCACGCCACAGATGTTGGCAACGCTTGAGATGCTAGGGATGACTAAAGTGTA